TAAGCTAGCTTTTCCTACTAAGTAACAGGTAAACACTTGTGAAGCTGCGAAAGGTATAAATTAGCCACTTCGGTTACAAGGGTCCACAGGTTCACAGGACAGGACAAGATAACCTGTACAGGTTCCGATGAGTACCATCTGGTGCCCCTCTGAGTCGAAGCGCCAAAAAGAACAATGAGCTTGAGGAAGAAAAATATTCAATTTCGCGGAAATGATGAGTGACATATTTCTGCATATTTCTTTCTTATAAGATTTAATTGGTTGTTAGTTTATTTGTTTATCCATTGAAGTACATCAGAGGGTGCGCAAAATGACCTTGAAAAAATGTTCCTTCCTCTTTTATTCCGTCCACACCCGGAGAAATTGTCTAAGATATTGTGAGTTACATTCGTTTCCCTTTTCTTCCACACCTTAGTTTGGCGTGGGCGGGGCTTGTGGGTGAATTAAGCGCTTTTGTTCCTTGTTTATTCTTCCATATTTCATTGCAGAGAGAAAGATCGCCTGTGGAGGCATGCAGTCAGTTCTTGGGTGGAGGGGGGGGGCATTGTTCCGTGTGAGTTGTCGTCTCGGTTGCTTTTAATCGATGTAATTCTCTGGCGCCAGCAATTCTATGCGCTGACTTATTCTGAACCCATTGTTCTGCCGAAGGCTGCGAGAATTCGCCCACCCTGAGTAGTAGCCTGAACGCCATGCATTGAAAGTGGGCTCGTTGCGTTGTCAAACCTAGAGCAAGGGTAGCTATCCCCCTGACGATGGATCCCAAGGCACTTCCAAGCAACCAGCTAGAATTTTAGCAGTTCTGTTGGACTTGGAAGAGAGTCGCATCAAGATAAGAGATCCCGAGGTGTGGGACGGCCGCTCTTTGAGGAGTGATGGACGGTGTCCTAGGTAAGAGAACAGAGTTTTGGTTTTTGAACAGTATCCCTTACTATGCCGTATCTCCATTTGACTGGCTTGGGGAACTGTCAGCCAAGAGGCAGGGGTGAAGGGCGAAGTGGGAGGATGGTAATGATTACCGACAAGAGGGTGATCGTACACGAAAAAATTGAAAATACTCGCATCTAAGCTGGAACTTGGGGAACTGATGGAGAGCATAGATGAGTCTCGAAGCTTAGTCGTTTTTGCTGCAGACGCTGGGCCGTGTCGGGGGTTGGTTTTGCGGGGCCATCCTGTATTGAAACAGTTGTTGGAAGGGACAAGGGGCAGCTATTGCTGGGAATAAGCGGCAACAATTGGTGAAAAACGGTCGAGAACAATTGGTAGAAAAAGGCCTACCAGCCCCTGCCACGCCTTAGCATCTGAAGCAAAAACGACTATGGGTAGCCTCCTTTCCTTGCTGTACCTCTGACTCCACATGGAAAATAAACGGCAAGCTGTGTGGATGCTGCCTCGCCTATGGTTGGTGACATTAAAAAGGCAGAATAGAGACATTAAGAATGGAAAAAAATGAAAGTGAAGAAAACAATTAAATCGAATTTACCAGTACAAGGAGGAATTGTAAGTAAAGCAACTTCAGTGCTAATAAATAAGCAGTAGGAAGAGCAGAGGCTAAAGTTCCATCCCTCCACGAATTCCGTTTTTCACTCCATGTGCTCGCTGAAGAGACCGTGTTGGTGGTGTGGGCGGAGTTAGACCTTCTATTGTACTTCCTTGTTGGTGCGCCCTTCATTGTAATACGTTCTCCTATGGGAGAGAAAGCGACGACTCAATGTGCGAGATACTATGGAAGGTCTGACTCCATCCATGCGGTCAGCTTGGAAAGTGCTTTGAGGATATTTTTCCGTCACCTGTTCCAAATGCCGCCAGAATATTTTTTGTCAATAAAATAATAAAAGAATTAAAAATGTGATTTTTAAGAAACATTGCATTTTGTTTCAAAGTCCAAAATTTTAAATTTACTCTGAAGGCTGATTATTTTATTATTTAATTGAAATTATTAAGGGGGGGGGGGGTCAATTCAAAGAAGTAGCTCAGTTTCCGTTTCGCACGTGCCCTTAGACGGAAACTGAACGAGGTCATTCTCCCTCCTCTGTGCTCTTCAGTAAGGGAAGGAGGAAAATCTGTTGTAAAAATTGATTTTATTACCAACGTTTTATTTTTCTAATGTATAGAACGTGCATTTAATAACAAGTACGCTTGTATAAATATTTTAACTTTTATGGACTTATCTACATTCCACGCTTATTTTTAAAATTTTTTATACTAAAATGTCCATTGAGATCGTTAAATGAGCAAATTTATTACTACGATTATAACTAACACCAGGATTTAGCAATTTTCTCCCTAGTTTCTGTTTTTGGCTGTTTTTAGGATCCCATCCTATGAATGAAGTATATCGGGACGTGAATTCTTTTTTTTTTGTTCTTGTAGTGGAGTGTTTTTCGCGATTTTCTTAGGTGTTTGTTCAATCGTGTAACTGTTCGCACAAGTTAGAAGAAACTCAATCATAATTTACCTTGTGAAGACAAGGAACAGTTAACCTTGAAAAAACAGCCAAAACAGTGAAAAGTAGGAAAAAAGGCAAGGCCGTAAACGGGTGATCGCAGCACAGTTCCATGTACGCGGTCGCTGCTGCAGCCGCGTCTGCGGCCCCTTGACGACCGCCCTAATCAACTACCTGGATGGCGAGTGTACATACATGATTGATAGTTGATCCTACTATATATAATTCACTAAGTATGTCTGTCAGTGTGTGTGTGTGTGTGTGCGTCCGTCTGTCTGTCACGAAATTCATAGCACGCGTCGCAGTAAGCGTGGCACGTTGGTTCCAAGAAGTGATATAGGGGATGGGACGGGAACATTATTGGCGGGTGACAGAAAGTGATAACAGTTGATAAGATCAGATAAGGGGTCTCGGAAGGGGAGGATCACCAAATACGTAACGCAGGTTACGGCAACAGTGGGACTTGGATCCGAGAGGTGATATAGGGTGTGGGACGGGAACATTATTGGCGGGTGACAGAAAGTGATAACAGTTGATAAGATCAGATAAGGGGTCTCGGAAGGGGAGGATCACCAAATACGTAACGCAGGTTACGGCAACAGTGGGACCTTGGATCCGAGAAGTGATTTAGGGTGATATGGGACGGGAATATTATTGGCGGGACGGATGTTATAGGAGCTGAAAGTGACAAGTTAACATGGGAAAATCCGCTACACCGCTCACAGCAGCAATGCGATCGATATGACTCAAGTATAACTATCTCAATGATTCCAATACATAAATCTTAAGATTGTGCTGTCCCGGAGCCTCATTGCAATCTGAATGTTAAACACATAAAAGAGGCGCCAAAATTTATTGCGAAAGACTCAAAAGATTCAAAAGAATCCAAAAGTTTTCACAAAAATTTTTTATTGTTAAACTCCTTCTTCTTCGAATATTTCGGTGCCTAGCACCTTCTTCAGCGATCTGAAATACTACATTTAGCCGCCTGCACCCGAATCCTGAACCTTCCCTTTTACTGGTGCCTCCAGAAGAAGTCCAGAACGGAGGCACCAGTGAAGGCAAGGTTCAGGATTCGGGTGCAGGCGGCTAACTGTAGTATTTCAGATCGCTGAAGAAGGTGCTAGGCACCGAAATATTCGAAGAAGAAGGAATTTAACAATAAAAAATTTTTGTGAAAACTTTTGGATTCTTTTGAATCTTTTGAGTCTTTCGCAATAAATTTTGGCGCCTCTTTTATGTGTTTAACATTCAGATTCCAATACAACTCATTCCTCACCGCTCATCAGTAGCGGAATCATGTACGACCGCTAAGCTAGCTCTATTCCGAATGCATGGGGTTTTTACAGAGATGTTATGAACAGCAGCAACTTGACTCAATCACTCTTATCAGAACTATCTTCCATCAACAACCTCAGTGAGGGCCATTCAAAGCGTTCCACTGCTGAATGCGGGAGTGCATTCCAAAGCAAGACGCTTTAAGAGGGGGGGGGGGGGGGGGGGGGGAATGCATGAATCAGTACGATGCTTCAGCGGCTGATCTAACAGGCTGCTCTATTCCCGTCTATGTAGGTTATGAACGTACCAGTCGGATCGCTCGCTAACGCCGGCGCTCCTCCTTATGCGGCGGGCGCTGCTGCTGCATAAGCATCCGTGACTTAGCACGCAGCAAATCCGCGCCCACCCGGCGAAGCCGGGCCATGTCACAGAAGGAGGAGCGCCCGGCGACAGCTGGGCGATCCGACTGGTCTAATAAAAACCAATAACGCTAAGTTATTGGTCTACACTAGACCAGTTAATATTAGGTTTTTATTATAGTCAAAATGAACTTACACTCCTTGAATTGACCGCGTCCTAGCTTGCTTGCTGATAAATGAAGAGGTTATGCATGGTACATGATAGGACGTGTTATCATTCAAGCTGTCCGTGGTATCTTATCTTGACTCATTTTATCGCGGAGTTCGGCTATGGATGGTAGGGTGAGTGTTTATCTTATCAATTTTCAGGAAGGATTTCTTTGTTCGTGGAGCTTCCTTCTCACCCGTTGTCACAGCTTCATGTTCAAATGGCAACGGCTGACGTGAAGCCCTTGACCAGCGAAACAAATAAAGAAATTCGTAGTGACATGTCGAAAGATATCGAGAGCAATGCCAAATCTGCGGAAGGAGACGAGAAGGAGACCGAAGTAGGGATGGGGGTAAGCGTGTTTCCTTGAGCGACACATTCCGCAGTAACCGGGTGGGCGGAGACTCATAACAGTTGTGCTCTCCTCACAGCTATCCTTTTGTTCCAAAAGATTAGAGAAGAGAGCCGTATTAATGAGGAAGTTACAATGGTTATGAGCGTTCTTATCTCTCTCTCCACCCATCCGGCTTTCGTGGAAAGTGTCTTTGATATTCTTATAGACTTATTGTGTTGAGTTCAAGTTACTTATTTGTAGCAATACCCCTGCACCGCTGATGACCACTTTGAAATTCGCCTCATTGACGCCGTCGAGAAAAATCCCTGTATATTCAATCGGTAAGACCTTTATAAGACACCCTCTGTCTTATCAGCTAGGGACTACCATTTCAGCTGTCACCCGCTTCACAAGATGTCCGACTACAAGAGTCACGTATGGAATCAAGTGGCACAACAGCTCTCTTTTTCAGGTCCGTCCATCCTTTTGAGATTTAATGGTGCAATCCAGATCATGTGGCGGAGAAAGGGAACCCACTATGTGTGTTCCTAACTGCTGCGCTTCTTTTCCCTAGCGCCGTGAAGAGGAGGGCTCGCGGAGGCACAGCGAAAGGCCTGACTTTGCTTACGTGACGACGTGGACTAAGCTTTTGAAAGGAGAGCGTGTTTATTCCCACTGGTGCCCTTCTTTTTTAGCCTAGTAAAGTATAGGGGCCTGCCAATACGAGAGGTGCAGGCAGCTGCAGACCTGACTCCGCCCATACAGAAACATAGGAAGGAGTAGTATCGAACGAAAGGGCCCCACGGCCTCCATGGGCTGACCGCAAGGGCTGAGGCAGAAGCGGTACTTGCGATGCCAATCAGGTCAGACATGGAGCTACGTCATGAGCGCTTCCAGTAGGGAGGGTGTACTCGCACATTCCCTGGTTCCTCTTGCTAGTTCATGTTAGTTAACAGGTCTGGCATTGGTGAGACCTGTAAGCTCCTGGCAAGCGGTGCACAGGTTTCGCGAGGTGGCTGCACAGACTTTGCTGATAACCATTTGTTGCCCCACAATACCGAATGACCTTGTTCAATATAGTTATTCATTACCATTGTTAGGGTTAGTTCTGAAGAAAGTCAATTTAGGCCCTGGGTGGAATTGGAGGCGTAATCGCCATATCGGCGAGCGCGTATGTAGCTGGTTCGGAAAGATCGCAAAACCAGCGCTCATCCAATAAAAGGGAGATAAAAATGGTGAGAAATCGTTTCTGTGAAATGCATAACCAGAGGATGGGGAGGGCGTGCCTGCGTATATCATTCGGATTTGGCCGCGACTGGGCTTTTGGTGGGTTGCTGCCGTTTTGTGACAATTGTAATCATGCCAGTTGTCGGTATGACAGTTGTCTAGAAAAGATAATTCCTATGAAGAATGCGTCTGTAATGTTGACCTACCAAGGCAGAAAAAAGTGGGGGGAGAACACATTGAAGACGCTCTATATAAGCTCTCCCCGGGCTAGATCGAGCATAAGCAAAGCAGGACGTCACCGTGCGGGCGGGGCCAAAGACAACCAGAGAAGCAGGAAGACAAAGGGAGACATACATGTGGGTCCCCCACAGAATGAACGCAACGCAACACGCCACTACTGACAGGGACACTACACTGACAGGCAGGCAGAGCTGCTAGGATATTTGGTCCCGAAATATGGGGCAACTTCTACTGGTGACGCTCGTTCGGGTAGATGCACCCACAGCGCACTCATCTCTCGTTGTTGAGTCCCGAAAGAAGGGCTGAGAATGGGGGCTGGAGTACCTGTACAAGGAAGGGATTCCTCCTAAACGTAGAAGTTGTCTTTCAAGGCATGCTCCAGGTTCACTCAATGTTCAGACGCCTTCCGTGGACAAGATGGTCCTGTCCGCAAGTATGGAGGATAAACCTTTCGCAGCTCAGAAATACGTGAGGAGAGCATGACCTGCTCACAAGGAGGCTACGGCTCCGCCTACTGGCCACGGCAACGCCCAAAGTTCATTTGTAAAGGTTTTCTCGCAGTGTGATTGTTCCACTATGTAGTTAAATCTCTCCATTGATGGTTTGAGAGATAAGGGGAAGAGGTGGCTTCAATTGGTGAAAACTTTTCCGATCACTCCCTTTCTTCGCCTTACACACGTACAAGAGCGGTTCGCAACGGGCTCAATGTAAAGCCATTACGGCGGGGTTTTTTTTGCTATTTTCCCTTCACTACTATATTAATTACCACCCTTTCATTAGAATTTGAGCCGCACAACTCACCAATTTTGAGCTCGGGGCGTGCCTTCAAAACACGCCAGTTGAAAGCCGTAATTTTCCGGTCTGCCGGCGAACTCGCATCAACAGACTTCCAAAAGCCGCTGGAAGAGTAACACATTATTTTCGCTTTGTAAAGAATGAAAATTCGATTTTATTGTATACCCTAAAGATATTTGTGCGCTGTAGGCTCTAATATTTGTAAGTCTTACTTGTTTTACAGTAACCTTTTCAGGTATTACTACTACAAGAAAATGTCGTTCTTAGACCCCTATATTGAGCATCGAAATAGAAGGAAGCGTGGCGATCTCATGACAAGTCTCATGAAACTTGGAGGCAACGGTTTGTTAAAGCTTTCAACTTCCCATCTTGTGCATTTTGTTCGGCATTACTGTCACTGAGTAACGGTTTTACTCAGAGCACATGTACGTTAGGGATTCCCAGAGGGAGGGTCGTATTTGGTCGCTGGAGGGAATGGGATCGTACCAGACGATGAAAATGTAGGGGATCGGTTTGAAAGAATCCTTTTTTAGAGTTGCTTTTTCGTGTTGTACGGGCTATCCACATCGTTGAGGGAGTCTAATTGGGGGAGGTGGCGTATCCTGCTTGAAGTTGAGAGAGGGGTTTGTATTTATGGGGAAGGGGGGATAGGTAGCTGTAACAGGGGAGCAACTTGGGGATTGAAAATTTCCCATTGGCAGGTGCCTTGTTTATAGTCATCTTGGATACAAGGTGGAGTCCACGCAGATGGTCTGTGTGGAGTTAGGCCATGATTGTGCCTTCATCGGAGGAGGGGGAGTCTTATAGAGGAAACACAGTGGTAGATTTGGCCTTTTTATACCAACAGTA